CTCCCTAAACACTGCCACGCCCATGTCATCACACTAACCTATCAATCCCGAAAAAAGATAGGAACAAGCTGTCCACACAACAAAGACGGGAGCAACCGCAGACGTACCGTCACAAGGACTAAGCCCTCTAAAGGCTAGAGTTAGGCCTCATAGACTACCGGTTCACATGCATACATAGATTGTCAAGCCAAACATTTATAAAAATTAACATACATGGTAAGTTTATTAACACCTACCTGATTAGACGGGGTAGGCAATGCACAACGATATCAGAAACGTAGGTTGAGGGCTCGACTCCTCACACACCTACATATTAGGGATTTAATTATGATTATTAATGAGGGTTTTGATTGAGGTTGATTAAGTCACGAAATTGAAAACACAAGCAATTAAACCACATAGGACACGCATAGCAGATAAGGGCATATAATTCAGTCAAAACAATTAAGCAGATAAAAGCAGCACATAATGCAGACGAAACTCAACAGATAAAAATCATATAAGTTTCTATCTTCTTAAAAAAAATTCATAAAACAGGTTTAGCACAAGCACAACAAATAGATAAGGAAAAGAATACCATGAGCAAGCACTACGGGAAATCAAAATTCATCAGACCAATTACATCATACATTTCAAGTTTCATCACTTTCATGACAATCATACACACTCCTGGAAAATGCCTTGTGCAAAGCAGTATACTATACCCATATTCAATGAGTAAATGAAGTTCCTTGTAGCTCATTAGAATCAATCAGCCCATGAGAAAAGGATATTACAATTTAAAACGAACTAAAATTCTAAGATATTGCCAATTAACATTCAACTTGTGAAGATCACTAACATAAAGAACCCCTACAATCATTAATCAAATCTGACAAACATAAAACAAATTAAAAAAATAACCACCATTCAGCCCTTTGAACATTAGCTTAAACTTACTCACAGGAAGAGTATATGACAAGCACAACCTATAAACTGCACATTAAACCACATAAAGTACAGAAATTAAGGTATTCAACTAAACCACACCACAACCATACAAAACATGCTTTTCTTCCTTTCTTTTCTTTCAAATTTTAACATACTCAAGGCCACATAATAAATGATATTAAAGGCTCTAACATACTCATGTAACAGCATGCATAATACACCTCAAGTTCAGCAAACAAACAAGACATTTACAACATTTACGCGTCTTACAAAATATGATATCAAATCACTACATATCAAGCTTTTTTCATTCTTCTTTTCTCAAACTCCATACATGCTAAGGGCTTTAAAAACTGAGATTAATGCTGTAGGAACTCTTCTCTTTCAGCATGATAAAGGGCAACAATTTGGCAACATGACATACATTATATACATGCCTCACTTTCCTCCTTCATTTCTCAATTTAAGCCTCCAACAACATGGCCATAAAATCTGAAAATATAAGGCTCTAAAACCATAGTTTTTAAACCCTGCCCGGTAATCGACCCGGGCAGGTCTTCATTCCTACTAATTTTTTTTATTAATTAATATAAATTTATTTTTGTATAAACTATCCAAATAAAAATAAATTATATTTCAGTAATATTTATTTTATATAAATCAATATTATACTAAATCTATAAATATATATTTTTGTCGTTCAAATTTATCACCTAATTCTTTAAAATTAATTATAAATTTTAATTTTATTAAAAAATATTTATTCAAAGATATATCTAATTTGTCTAATTCTTAAGAGGAATATATCAACTAGTACGATACTCGTGTACCTAAATATATTAATATTTGTACAATAGAGAAATTACCAAAATTTATTTTTATATTGTAAAATTATGTATAATGAATAACTAACAAAGTAATAATTAATCCAAAAATGGGGCCTTATTTTTGCACTTAATTTTCTTAATTTATTTATAAGCTATGGTAAAATGCATTAAATGATTATTTTATGGTGTATTACTAAATTAGATTTTTATTATATTTGTTATAAGATAATTTATGTTGTATTCACATTTTTGAAATTATTTTTTAATAAATATAGTTTTATTTATAATGATAGATGTAACTATTTTTATTTTATAAATGCAATATGGATGTCAATCAAAAACTATTAAAATATGATTATTATGAGATATAACATACAAAAAATAAAATAAAAATAAAAAAATAAGTCTATAGAAGTATTAGACAACAGTTTAAAGATAAACGGATTTTCAAGAAGACGAGTTTAGTAGCATCCCGAGTAAGTTGCAANATCAACTAATTCTCTAAAATTAAATTATAAATTTTAAATTTATTAAAAATATTTATTCAAAGATCTATCTAATTTTCAAGAAGAATATATATCAACTAGTACGATACTCGTGTACTACACGGATACGTAAATATATTAATATTTGTAGAATATAAAAACTAAAATAATTTATTTTTATATTGTAAAATTATGTATAATGAATATAAAAATAATGAATAACTAAAAAAGTAATAATTAATTCAAATGGGGTCCGTATTTTTTCACTTAATTTTCTTAATTTATTTAAAATCTATGAAAAAACGCGTTACAATGATTATTTTTGGTGCATTATGGAATTATATTTTTATTATATTCGTTATAAAATAATTCATGTTCTATTTTTATTTTTTAAATTATTTTTTAATAAATAAAGTTTTAGTTATAATGAGAGATGTAATTATTTTTTCTTTTATATATGCAATATATATGCCAAATCGAAGATCATTACAATATGATTATTTTGAGATATAACATACAAAAAATAAAATAAAAAAATTATAAATATTTAAAAATAAAAAGAATACATATTTATTATAGCAATTATTATATGGATTAAATAAGAAAGAGTAAGAGTAATATATGGTAACTTGAGAAAAAAAGCCAAAAATAGTTTATGGTAAATCTCAAGCCTAANAAATAGTTTATGCTAATTCTCATGTCTAAAACTGAACATGTACACGTGTCAATACAAAGCATATAATTATGTCAAATAAACTTTTGAAGCATATGAGCCTGCTTAGGATCAGAGCATTCAAAAATTATATATCGGGGCGATTTATAAAATTATCATTAATATCTTATGACAAGTTATTATAGGAATATGCTAAAAATTAAGAATTATATCACCTTGATTTGATAACAAATCAACCTAAAATTCGACTTTCATACCCATACCAAATAAAATTCATACCACTTATTTTATTTTCAAAATTAATAACAATATCCATACCAAATGAAATTCATATCATTTAAATTTCGACAATTCATGCCAAAATAAAATCGTCCTCATTTTATTAATCATAATACACGGCATTATTTTATTCAAAAATTTATAATATTACTATTTTTTTTTTTAAAATTGACAACCCAATTTTATTATATGCAAATAATATGATATTTCTAACAAACAAAATTTTATACTCTAAAAGCTTGCGCAACACGAATTTCCACTTACGCTGCGTAGTATAAGAGGCAAAATGCGACAAATTACGTTATAAACATTTTAAAACACTAAAAGGAATATAATTTCAATATAAATGACCGTTAAGCCGAGATCATATTCTTTATTGTGAAATCCCGTGCCCTAAGGACTAAGCTTTTAAATATTTTTTGTTGAAAGTTAAAAAGTTAAAAATTTTTGAAAGTTAAAAAGTTAAAATTTAAATATTTATTTTAAAAGTTAAAAAAGAATTTTAATTTAATTATAATCTAAATATGTGATAAGATTAAAATATAAATTATTTAGAAAAAGAATTTTATTTTTTTAAATTAAATTTTAGAAAATATTATTTGTGAATAAAATTTATATTTTTGAAAAAGTTAAGACTATATAAAATTAATACCCGAAAAATTCTATTGTAGGTAGTTTTATTCACAAATAATATTTTCTATAAGTTTATTTACAAAAAATTAAACTTTTTTCCTAAATAGTTTATATTTTAATGTTATCACATATTTAGATTAAAATTAAGATAATATTTATTTTTTAACTATTAAAATAAATTTCATTAAGTTTTTGCATAAATGTAAATTATGAAATAATTATCTTATTAGATAATTGTATTGTTTATATTTAATTTTTTATTATAAGATCTTAAAAAATAAATTTTAAAAAAAGTATTGTTGTTTACATAATTATATCAAAATACCAATTGATATGGAGTCTTAAATTGAAAATTAAATTGTAAAAGTAGGTCTTATATTGAGAATAACTTAGAATTAAAACCTTCAAATGAAAATGTTGTGACACAATAACAAAAAGTCAAGCCCTACAATGAAATTTTCCCTCCATGCCACATGGATCGTTCACGCGTGATTTGGTTGAGAAATGGTGGAAGTTAAAACATATAGGTAGAATTTGGAGTAATCATGTATGATCATCAATGAGATGAAGTATGTCTTTTAATGAGATGAAGTGTATTAGTAGTATTTTTTCATTAATGCGTTGAGTTCGTAACCAATTTGCGAT